ACTCACTACCATAGAGTAAGGTACTGAAAACACAAGCTTGGTAGACTCGGATCTTTGTGTGTTCCATTAGAGCTTTGTTCTTCCACACCCTCTTGGTCGGTCTTGTAATGAGTGTGTTTGCCTTCCCAAGTCGTCTGTTGAGTTCAGCATCGAGTGACAGATTATTGCTGACAGTGGAACCCAGATAGGTGAAGTTGCCATGGCTACAAGGGCGACATTGTCGATATTAATGGAGGGGGCAACACTGATACCTGGTACGCAAATGTTGGTTTTCTTCAGACTTATAATAAGCCCAAACTACTTACAAGCATTGGCGAAGCGGTCACCCAACCTCTGGAGGGTATCCTCAGAATGGGTCACAAGGGCTGCATCGTCAGCGTAAAGCATCTTTCTGACAAGAACTGACCTCACCTTGGTCTTAGAACGCAGGTGTGCCAGGTTAAAACCTTCCCATCAGATCTAGTATGCAAATAGACACCATCTGGGGACGAGTCAAAGGTATGGGACAGGAGCAAGGGGAAGAAGATCCCAGAGAGAGTTGGTGCCAGTACACATGGAGAGGATGTTAACTGGGCCTACAGCAGTGCTGAGATGGATTGAGAGCAGGTGCTCGGTGCCTCCAGAAGGGGGCTCTACCGAAGCTAGAAGGGTGTTCTTGAAGGCAAAGCCAACTCCATACTGGTGGGGCTCCTTGGGTTCTCTACCCTTCCAGAAAAAAAGTATAGTTCTCCTCTTTAAGGGAGCCACTAGAGCGGAGCCTGGTTTCTTGAAGGTCAGCTATGGTGATGTTGAGTCTGGAAAGCTCTCTGTCGATGATAGCTGTTTTCCTGGTGTCATCCACTTGCAAGTCGAATAACGGGAGACTTTTTTGTTTTCTTGGTATGTTTGCCTGGTGCGAAGTTTACCGTCTACTTGTCATGTCTGAGGTGTACATTAAGCTTTAGGCACCCACTAAAGCAGGCAGACGTTAGCGAGCCAACACCTCATTGACTGGAGGATGCCCGGTTTGAGGCGGGCGGTAGTCGGCCAGTGGAACACGATGGTCCCTCCCACCGTCGAAACTGACCCGTGGCGCCCCATTCCATACGCCAATTGGGAGGGACTTATAACCTGTAAACTGTCAGTTTCCATGTTGTTTTCTCACTCAGAAGCAAGGCTGGAATGGCCTCTCCAGGGCGCAAGCCTGGGCAAACGTCAAGATCCCCCTCTCGGCCTTGCTGATGGGACCCAAAGGAATGCTGAACATGACGTTTGGCACCAGTTTGGCTGCAGGAGCTGCCGAAACAATGTGTCCAAGACAACAGTCCGTCTTAGGGCCTCCACTCGTGATTTGGAAGGTTTACTCCTTTACACCTAGCCGTTGAGTCCAACGGGGACCTCTTCCACCCGAGCCGTTGGCTGTTTAGAAGCAGCTCATCTGCCCAGTGAGGCGATGTAGGCACCACCCTCTCACATGATTTAGCTTACCAGCTGAAGCGGTGTACCGGGGTGTGGCACTTGGAGCCAACACGTGAGAGATTTAGGAGATGGATGAGAACCAGTGATGCACTTTCCACCTTACAAAGTAAGATGCAGCTGACGGACAACAAAGGTGCTATCTCTATCCAGAGCCCCCTCCCACCCCTTAGAATATACAAGGCTACACAAATCATGATACCGCAAAAATGGTGTGTTACTCATTTATAGTGTGTTCATTATCAAACTGTAAAAAAAAATTGAGGTTTCTGATTGAAACGCAGCACAAAAAGGAAGGTTCCCTCAGCGCGGGTGCTTATAGGTTTCCTACAATAGTCGGTTGTTTCCAACGATAACATGACTGGTTTACTTCAATTATGAATATTTTCAACATTTAACCAATCAACGAAATACTTCCAAGAATGTCACTTCTGTTAGCACACAAACAAATTCTAATTCTTGACCAGGCGTATGTTAAATTACACTTGGTGTGAAGTTGCCTGGTCATTTTACAAGATAGATTGATAAGATGAATGCAGGATTGAATAGGTGCATTCAAATTCATGCAAAAATGAATGTCCACATACTGAACCAGTGCAATATCAGGAAAATTGAATGCTGACTCTACATGATTGAAGGCACCCTCCTTGAAATAGAATTGTTATTTGTTAAATACCGGTAGAAACAGGGATTTGAATGCTCGTTCTATTTCGCTCGAAAACACATGCTGCTATTTCTAATTCGTTTACACATTTTCCGAAATTGGCCGGGAAAACCTATATTTTGAACGATAATTTTTTTGTTGGTGAAATTTGAGTAAAATTGCCTTTTGGAGTGAAGTAGTTTTTGTGAAAAGATAAAATTTTTATTTCCTGTAGTTCATGAGAAGAGGAGTAAATTTTTGAAATGAAATATGGAGCATGACATACTGACACTAAAAAACTAAATGTTGTCTTTGTGAACTTTGTTATGTAAGTCAACACTGCAGGAGCAGAATTTACAATTATTTCTTCTGACTAGTTTTTGTTTTGAGGTTGTCGGCATAATGTTCACAGTTGTTTATTATAGCCACCACTGCAAGCCAAGTCCTGCTAAACTTTTCAAGTTACATGCATTATCATGTACTAGCTCGGGAAGCTCGATGGTATCCACTGTTGAGTGGCATTTTCATTGGACAGTAAACCAGTGAATTACCAGGTAAGATCATTTGGCATAAAGTGCCTGACGTCATGCCAACAGAGGTATCTTGTGCTTGTGTTATGCCAAATAACCAGCGATTTGCTTGATTTTGCAAAATTGATTGATTCAAAGTTAAAGAATGGTAGCAGTTTCAAATAGTTATTGCAGATATTTGTTGTCTCTGCTCCAGTAACCCCCAACTGTGGCAGCTTGTAAAAGTAGAATAATTCTTGATCTGTTAAATTATGTCACACTTACATCCCAACTTCTCCCTGGTGACTGATTCCATTGGATTTTGTGCCATGTTAACAATAACGCCACTCTGAACAAACGGTTTCCTTGAGCTGTTTTTATTGTGCCTTTCACCATAGTTAAAAAAAAAGGACATCTTGAAGGAATTGCCAAGTATATTTCTTACAAATTCTAAAATAATATTGACATTTTCTCAAGTAAAAAGCAAGGAAATTAGGGAGAATCTGAAACTCCACGATTTCAGTCTTTACCCAAGGAACAGCACCATCTGGTTGAAACTTGTTTTTATCAAGTTAAAACTTCTCTTGTTTATCCCAACTACCACTCATTTAATTTAGGAATCTTTTGGAAGTCTGAAGCCAGTGTTGCCTGTATGCCTGTGTCCATATCCGTCAGTTGACACATTTTTACAACTACAAGATATACCTCTGCTTCAAATATGAAATGTAGCGTGGACATGACACTAGTCAGAAAAAATAGAAATTCAGTTTTCATATGGACTGCAATTCAACAATCCTGCAAAACATTTTGCTGCTGACAGCAGAAATCACATTCATACTATTTTTGATCTATTTGGCATCTTTTGTTTCTTCAATAATTTAAAATTTGTCAAGGTTTTTATTCCATCTTCGTTTCTGCTGCAACGTATACAGTCCTGTTGCAAAGAGTCTACTTAAACAATAAAATCCAGATATTATATCCATAGTAGAAATATGAATGACTTGCTCATGATCTGTACTGCGCTTGTGAAATCCCACGGTGATTCCTTCCTTTAAACAGTAAAAAATAGCACCAGCTTAAATGCAGCAACACATACAGGCAAGAAGACTTAACAGTACAGCCTACTGATTGTACATACTTGTCATTTCTTGACCACAGTTTGGACAGCTAAAAAATACTTTCATTTCCCATCCACTCACGATTTCTGGAATGGATTTTCTTTCAAAAGCATCACTGAAATGCTTTGACTAGTAAGCCTGAGTGACTGCTTCTCCAAAAGAGGGAGCACAGAATTTAAAAATGTTTTTTCCCTCTCCATCTGAACTCAGGAAGCTCCCAGGAGATTGGGGAAAAGATGGTTTCCAAAAGAAAACCATGCAGAAACAAGAAACCACAATTGACAAACATCTCTTAAATTGCCGTGTTTGCTCACTCGGTAAATCAAATATTTCTTCACAGAAGACATTTTGGTGTCATTCCCAAACCCAATCCCCGAAGATTTAAATCACCCTAGCCTGACATGAATGGCAAACTACACTCATACACAATAGCCATCATGATCATCAATCATTCAGAAAGAACCATGGGTTTTTCCTTGAACAAACCCAGAAAATACTGACACGTGGCAATCAATTTGTTGGCAAGATCCCCCCCCAAAAAAATTGTGCTTCAACTATGAGTGGAATTATTCAGGATGACTTCAGTGTTATCTTCAAAATGTTTCTTCAAAATGTTCTATTAGACTGTGGAAAATCTTTGTACAATGTCATAGTCTGGTCTATCACAACTCCTTCCACAACATCAGTCATGAGAATCGGGGGTAACTAGAGGCAAAGGAATGCCTCTGTCACTGCTCAGTTGAATAGCTTGTGATTTGGCTTGAGAGCCGACAAGTTGCACTGGGCTAACCGGACCCGACTGCAACACCAGTTTTAATAAGTGGGATTTGATTCTTCAATCTCCTGATCACGTGTTTCTCTGAACTACCCAGCTTGCCTTAAGGAAAGCTGGATACTGGAAGTTTGAATTCCCCTGAGCTTGTGAAATGTGATCCAGTAAGCCCTGTCACCGCAGAGCAGATTGCAATGTACATGGTATTTTACTTTAAAATACTTCAGTAAAATGGTCTTTGTAGTTCAGCACACCCTCAAGAAGACAAATGGCTTGAGGGGTCAACAATCAAAATGGCATTGCCCTAAAGAAGACATGCACCGATACCACAAAAAAAGTTGGAATGACAAAAGGATACTGGCCCAAAGCCCATTATCAGCCAAAAAGATGGATTTCATAAAAGAAGACAAATATGGACAATGGTCACCTTAAAAAACCAGCCTTAGAAGAAAAGCTCATTTGTTTTTAAAATTTTTCTCTCTTTCTCTCTTTCTTTCTTCTTGTTTTTTTAAACAAACTTCACAAAATAAAAACTATGACGATGAGTTAGTATTAAAAAAGAGCGGCACTACAAGCCAGCCATGCCGCAGGCCCTGGAACCAACATTCAGCACTTCCAGCATCGTCCTCAATGTGGGGAGGGTTTCCAACACCTGGGGGAGTTCATTTGCCTTGGTGGATGCCCTGATCAGGGGGAAAAAGACCCACAGTGTAAAATTTGGCTGTCCCAAATTGGGCTGCAACAACTATTTATTCTAGGGAAATAACCATTATTATTTTATCACAGACAAGTGGTTATGATTCAGCAGGCGATGTGTTGATCATTTATTCACTCTCCCACTGTCCAAACTCCTTAAAAATCCAGCTTTTAGGTTTTTTCAGTATTGAAAAAGGCGAGGAAAAAAATCTGCTGAGGTACTCCAGTAAAGACTCAGGACATGAACTTGTTGATTTCTTGCACTGTGGAGGATTTAGGGTTTTTTTGAAAAATTCCTTGGGAATAGGGAGTTAGAAATATGTGGCACAAAAATGAATTTTCTATCAAATAAAAGATGCCTGAAAAAACCTGTACTTTCATAGAAAACTATTCAGTTATTAAGCAGAGTCACAATTGTAGGCAAATACTGACTTTAGACCATTAACATTAAATGGCCTTCTTTACATTAACGTCACACTGTGACAGAAGTAACAAAATCAATTTATGCAAGCTCTGAGCATTTACAAATTCATGAAAACCAAGAACTGCAATTGGGTTGAATTCTAATCAGTTAAAAATCCTTCTTTTAGAGGACGGAATGTTATGTTCATCCATTCTTGTCCGTCCTAGAGACTTTTTTCCTCACCAGCGGATGTTCATCCAATTCTTCATAAGGGCAGTGAAGTTCTCTGGACCCCCAGACAGTAACGCCTCCACGTCTACAATATTGCCCTTTGGTATGTGACCTGTGACCTCTTTACCGATGGCATATATCAGCCCAACGGCCACACTGTAGGCAACCGAGCTGAAAAACAAATGAAGCAAGACAAGTGGAGATGAACACTTGGTCAGCTTGGCATAAACTTGCAATGGTTCCCTCAAAGCTCCTGCAAGGTAATTTGATAAGATTTTGACGGTCCGTACCGTGAGAGGTTGGAAATCATAAGCAAAGTTTGAAGTCGAATTCCATGTAAGATAAATTGTCAATTCAATTCAATGTTCTAATTGGCCTTCTCAGGCTGTACGTAACTTACACCCCCCCCAAAAAAAAGACAAAAAAGGAACTTATTTCATTTTTATATTTTAGGTCACTAATAAACGTGTTTTGAATTTCACTTATGTCTATAAAGCTTAGTAACAGTAAGTAATGGGCTTTGCATGTGGACGTGAGACTGCATGTTTCTATACGGCAATGAACTGAGTGGGACCTACTGTTCACATACAACATGACCAATTGAACTGGAACAATCTTCTTGAGGATGCCAGGCACCCATGAAACAATTGCCCTCCAGCCTCTCTCTCTGGGATATCGGCAAGGGGGGGGTCTTGCTCAATAAGTGGATAAAAACCCATGACATTTGTATCAAGTATCCGCGATTATGTGCCCCAAGTCCTCACCTAGAGCCTCTAGATAATGGCATGAGGTTGTAGAAGTAGTAGACCATGGAAAGAATTAGATGAATGACCGAGTCGGAATCCTGAAAGAAAAATTACAACAGAATTGCAGGATTCGGAAAGAAAAACGTGGCCAGCTAACAGAAACATCAACAATGCACACAGGTCAGTTGGCCAGTTTTTGTCTAATTATTAATTTGACAAAAGCGTGCGGGGGAAAAAAGAGACAACATGGGTGAAAGACAAAGTAGAAAATGTCTTCCCTCTTCACAAAACTCGACTGTAGACATCCAACTAAAGCAAATCTTTGAATCTGATTTGTTATCCCAGAAAAAAATGGCAAGTGTACGACTCACAGACTGGCCCTTGCTGTGGCTGGTTTCAAGTCGCACTCACCATCTCTTTGTTGGAGCTGTGAGCTTTTTTCATCTCATCGCTCAGTAACAACCAAATGTAATCTATCTCTGTGTGGAACTGGTCCGTGCGCTTCTTCGTGGTTGCTGTGTCTAATGAAAACAACACATTACCCACCCTAAAAAGGAACAAACAGAATAACAATTACATGAAAATAATTCAATGCCAGCAAGAAGTCAAGTGAGAGACTATGAGGAACTGGATATTTACGTTTAATGGTTTTGGGCTAAGTGGTTAATTTCAGCATGGACCATCTTGATGGATTGAGGAACCTGATTTGCTGTAAACATAACAAATGTGACCTGATTAAAAGAAAACAAGTCACAAGAAGTCAACATCAACTCTGAAGTATTTCATGAGGTTGATGCTTTGGCTGAATTTCCTGAAAATATAATAATGATGCTGTCCAGCAAACTTATTATGAAATAATTTGGTTAAAAGTGCGGACATCACCTCGATCACTGGTTGCAAATTTGTACCAAAAGTTGGAAGAGTAAAAATATCATCTTATATCATCTATAATCGCTGTGTGAGTTATTGTTTTACTGAGTGAAGTAATCTTTAACTGAAGACTGATGGCCACCTGATTTACCAACTTCTGAGTGGCAAACCACCATTAAACTTTGACCTTGCTTTAGGCTGCTTTGGGATACGGCTCTACTCACACATCCCCAGTCAGGGAGAAGATGGAACCCTCTAGTTTGTGTCCTTTCTCCTTGTAGCTGGGGATCTTGGTGGACACCATGAAGCCAGGCATTAGGCCGTCTCCCATCTTCTGCTTCTTGACCAGCTTCAGCAGTTCCTCGCAGTTGCTCACCTTCTCCAGAGCGGCTTGGAACTTGCTCTCTGCTCGTGAGGACTGGCTGATAATAAGGCTGGGAGTAGGGAAGACACCACACGTCATTGGTCATCAACCACTGTCTCTGGGTCGTTCAATGAATTTGGGGCACAATTTGTGATGGTGTCAATTGTTACATGGCTTCTGTAAAAATAACAGCTATTTCCCTGCATGTGGATTCCAAATTGACATTGTTTTACATCCTGCAAGACACCGTCACAAACTGTGCCCCAACCTCATGGAATGACCCCTCTGACAATGTTTTTGTAAGCTAGCAACCCTATGGAATGTAACACATAACCATTGCAAATGATATCCTTAACCACTTCCTGCCGGGGCAGTTTAATATCAATGTTGATGATGCTCAGCTGAAATATTTATCATTTTTTTCTGTTTTCAAAATTCTTTAAAAATTCCTATCTTCATTTACTGGACACTTACAAACACGTGAAGGACTATCTGGTGGCCACTCTAGCCTGACAGACAAAATCTATTGACGCCTGAGTATTTCAGCCAGGCCTGCCACCTTGTAAAAAGAGCTCAGATTGTGCGGTGTTGTATAACTTTCTTTTGTTCACGAACCTGGCTCAGTGCACTGCTGACCTCTTTTCAATAGGGGTCAGATTAGCATGCAGCGGTGCTGTGTGGCTCATCGTTGCGGTGGTGGAGAGCTTTTGTCCCCGGTGGTAATCCACTCACTCTAAATGCCTCAAACCATGGTATACTGTTTCAAAACAAGGCTGGGTTATCTCCACTTTCGAGAGTGAAAAAATGTCGGTAATGCCCAGCAGCCTGTCTTTTGTTCCAAGTACGGTATTTTGTTACAAGGCCCAGTTCCCTTTGTCCGAGTTTGGAGACCCCGGCCACGCATATAAAGCATACGTGTCCAGATCCGGAATCCCCGGCAGGAAGTGGTTAATACTCTGCACTAACAGTACTCAACATTCATAGTCAGGGGTTATTAAACAAGAAATGTCCTCCTCGCAAAGTTCCTTATTACAAATTGACGAGAATATCAAAGTTGAAAAGACCGGCAACACTGAGGGTACTTTTTAGTATTTTTCTCACGTTTCAGAAATTATTTTTGGGTTTTAAAACGAGTGAAAATAACCGCTCATGCTTTGAATGCAATGTTTATTTTAATGGTCAAAACGAGCCAATCAGAACTATGCTCTTGTACCCTCTCTGCTGTTCCATAACTATCAAATTTGTTCACTTGGCACAAATGAAAACATATGAAAAGAACACAACAGTGCAACACATATAAGGATCATAATGAATGCTGCATGTATTATTTCAGATGGGCATTCAACAGTGACAAGTTTGAGTGACATAATTCCAATACTTCCATCTTGGCTTCCAGTGGCACATCCAGGTTTTAAGTCTGGGGGGCAAAATAAGGACATTTTGGGGAACTGATGGTCACTTTTGTCACCATTCATCATTCCCTCCGCATGGAAGGTGCCTGGAATGTTTCTGTAGTGGGTACTTTCATCCCCCCTCACCCACCCCAAGCAACCTGTCCAGGGGGGCAGGACAAGTCACCCCTACCCCTCTACTGAATATGTCGCTGTTAATTCTGTCGCATGTGTTCCAATTCATGAGCACACACTCACTTGCGCTGGAGGACCATTTTTTTGGTGAGGTTAAAGATGACATTGAAGTATTTGCTGAATCGGATGTTGAAGACCTGGCCACGTAGTAAGTTCATGTGATTGTTAAACCCAGCCTCTACACTAGACGCTGGCATCATGTCAATCCAAAGTACTGGTTGATCGGGATCAACTAATCTAAACAACCAAGAAAGCGTTGAAAATTGATTTACTGAGAGGTACATTACAAAAGACATTACTCTGACAACTCCTCTGAAATCCAAACACAAAAGGATACCAAACAAAATACATCGAATGAAAAATGAGATGGAAAACAACAATGATATTTCTATTAAACTGAAGCAAATTAAAACAGTGATAAAATTCACTTCATAAAGTTGAGCATTTAACTTGGTAAAATGGGATCTCAACTAGAGCATCTGATGTTCTCAAGCTCAAAGGCCCAGTCACGTCACAGAGAGCAATAGACAACCACTTCATTACAGGAATTCAGTCTCTGATTATACCATCTGTCCATTAACAGAAGCCCACGGATTGGTCAAACACTGGATTGGTCAAAACACAAGACGTGAATTTGTCACTGAATGTACATGCCAGAGTTGTAACGAGTCACTTATTTTTTACTTGAGTCGAGTCATGATCACATGGTGACTTGAGTCAAGTCATTATGCAAATAAGTTGAGTCAAGTTGAGTCTTTAGCTGGAGTCCATTCAAGTCACCAATATTTGAACACAATACAATAATTAAAAACAAGAGAGAAAGTTATTTGGGGGCATTTTTCTAGATTATCTACACTCCCATCAAAACAAAGAAACCTACCGTCTCCATTTGACTGCTATATCAAACATGTCTCTCCATCCAAAACGTTTACCCTGGCTGTTCCTGTAGACTCTATTGGAGCTGGCCTTGTCCCATACTATCCTCATGGTCTGGGCCACCTCGATGCTGGCCAGACCCATGGCCAGCTGGGCCCGTTGGCTGGGCAGGAAGCCCTCGGCATCCACCTGGCCAAGGTGCCCCGTGGGGGCTGCTGTGCAGATCAGTCGCTGGGCCTCGGTGCTCAGCTCCAAGAAGTCCAGGTCCTCCACGTCACTGTGAAATGTGACAGAATCAGAAGCATGGATCAAAATTAGATCAAAGAGACTGTACACTGGGGGTAGTTTTCTGAATTAAGACTTAGTAACTATTCACAAAGAGAAACAAACAACCAAAAAAGCGCAGCACCTCCTCATCTATCAAAAGTGCAGGTATTTTTTATAAAACTTTAATAAGTTTGATGTGAACAACAAAACACATCAGTCACGATCACCAGAAACGTTGGTTTTAAAATATTTCCCTCCCAAAAGATGTCATAACTAAGATGCCAAAATTGCAACGGTAACCACTCCAATAAAAAAGCTCAACTTTTTGGTTCAGGGGAAAATATACCAAATGCAGGGAGTTATTCCACTAAGAGTTGATTTCTCAGGCAGTTTTCAAGCTCCCACAAATGATCTGTGGTCGCCTCCTAAAGTGAGATACCTACCTAATTTCTGGGGACAGGCCAGGCATTTCCACATATCCTTTTGTCTCAAACGATTTACTCTTGACCCATCGGTCCTTCATAGTGCCGTCTAGATCAGCATCAATGTTGTAATCACTCACAAGTGTATCAAGATGGGCATGAAGGTAACGGGAAAGCTCTGTCAAGTATACACAAAAACACACCAATTGAGGTATTAGCAAACCTTAGAGTACAAGGCAACGTATTTCCATTTGTTCCTTTAACACTGAGAACCTCAACTCCTTTAGAATACGTGCAGAAATTCATTTTGCATTTGGTGGACTCATGGGACTTTTAGGTTTTACATACAACTCAAGAGTTTTAAAGTGAATAAAACACGCTGCAGAAGCAGTACACATGAAATTAAAGATTTACTTTCACTTGAAAGATGTCTTCTTAAAAAGCAAAAAGTAAACCTTGATGTTTCTTTGTATATATTTCCTCAATCTGAAGGTATGCCTCTATTATACATGAAGAGTTTTATCGCCAAACTTTAGTTATCCATTTCTACTGTTTTTAGGAACAGCACCATTTTTGTTGTTAATAGACGGGGCCAAAATTAAAAATCTATAATGTACAAGCGTTTACTGAAGACTTTCCAATGACATGCCACTTCCATTGCACAAGCGAGCATTGTCCCTCGTGGTGTGTGTACACACCCTCGCTGGTAACTTGCCACCGCCAGAATACCGCAATTTCTGCTGTTTTTCTCGTCCATGGTAGTCTACTGATCTTTCCCACTTTTGTGGGATTTCAGACAACACGATGTCTTCTTCTAAGCCATCAAAGGTGTTCATAATGTCAACAGAAATGAGGACAATCGGTTGCAAGAATTGAGATCGAAAGCCATGTTTGCACTTGCAAGATGAGTAGACTGGTTTCTTGACCTACAATGAAATGCTGGTCCTGCATCCAGGATGGGCATGGCTGTGTCAAAAGAGGGCGTCCAGGGCCGAGGCTATCAGTGTAACGGATGTATCGTGCTGTGCACTGAAACTGTGGTGCCATTAATTACAGTTTGGACTAATAATAAGATGGTTATCAGCCACCTGTTAGAGTGGGATTTATTGCTATTTGCCCAAAAAATACATTTGGAATGTGAATGCTCCATTATGTCATGATCATATTAATAGCAATATCTCAGGGGGGGGACTGGGCATTTATCCCACTTTGATCTGAATCCATTCACATTCTGAAGTAGCAACTGTAAACCATACGTGGACACAATAGATTGCACTCTAGTCCCACTATGTCCTTCAAAATACTTCTTAATCTACTCATGTAGCCAATGGACAATGGAGGAACTGGAGAAGGGCCATGAATAACACCAGAAGTGATAAATGCAGTGCACTCACGTATGACGAAACCAAATTGTTGTTGCGGTGTGGGTACACCTACTAACCTCGGACATACAAGGCCCTATCCCGCTCGCTGCTTCCCGGCTCTGGCATGTGTAGAACCCTGAGCTTGGTGTTGACTTTGACGGCCTGATAGAACTGGCCCAAGGCTGCGTAGGACAGCCCCTTCATGTATTGGCACACGTTATTGTGTGGCTCCAGCGAGGTGCAGGCCTACAATGTTGAAGTTCAAGAGGAAACCCTAGTCAGTAATATCTATTTCCTGTTAGAACAAGAGATAGAATGTTTTCCGATAGCAATGTCTTCCGTTTAGTAGGGACTCATCAAATGTACGCACTAGTTCATCCACACTTGGCACAACCAATTTCTGTTGGAATATACAATCTCCCAGTGGGTGCCACGTCCACAAATGAAATGGTCCCCGCAACTCTCTCTTCTATGCCCACGAGGAGGTACAACTACTCAGAATGGATATAGTGTAATCTGCGAAATGATGAACAAGGTCATCTCATTTCCCCAAACCAAAATAAATAAGTGGTTCTTTCTCGAAGTCAATCAAAGGAGGCCGTGGTGAAGCACGAATATGAATACAAAATAATAAATTTATGTAGGATTTAAAAGCAAAATAGCGCGTAACTATTTACATATTAAAATCAATAACAAAGTACAAGGTTCACCAAAGGTTTGCATCCATGGATAGAGGAGTGAATTTTGTGGCAGGTACTTTACCTTGAAGTCTGGCAACGCTTCTTTTGGGTAGCCTGCCTGATAGAGTAAACTACCTCTGAGCTGTAGTGACTGAACGTGATTGGGGTTGATCAACAGGGCTGCGTTAAACTTTTCCAAGGCCTTGTCAAAGTTGCCAAGCTCTCTGGAAACGGTCAAAAGATAAATGTTGGCCTTGACATGAACATAAATCTAAGTTCTCTGATCAAAGGAGAATAAGCCATTTTACTCAGGAAGAATTGCAACCTTGTTGTGTAAGAATGATCTGTACATCATTTTCTGTGCTTTCTGTTTACATGTTTTACTCATGGAATGAATACATGTGCTAGAAAATTTTTGTTTCAATGGGTCCTCCATTATTTCCATTTTCCTTTGGTCATAGATTTGTAGATGGATTTTTTGTCCAGATATAGAACTCTATGGAAGCGGTTTGTCTGTATTTTAACTGAAACTTTGTTGCTAAAATGGCAGAAAGGCATATCCCGAAGAGAAGTGATTATTATTGGGAATGTTTTGTGAGTGCAAATGACTAGAATGAAACAGCACTTTGAACACTAAATTTGTTGATAAAATTTTCCGGATCAAGTCGGCATAATGATCACACACTGAGGTTGAATTTAACTTTCTGCACCTGTAAGCATGGGCCAGACTTCTCAGACAGTCCACAAAATGGGTGTTCAGTTTCAGTGCTTCATTGTAGTACTTTATAGCATCCTGAAAACAGTACAACATATTTAGAAATTACATTATTCCAATTTGTCATCACGGTCAGATTTTAAGGCATCTAGTCTTCAAGAAATGTTCCTCTGTGATACTAGTTCTCTGAAGAATGTCAAATTCAATTTCTAATATTAGTTAAACAGAGTTGGTACTGACACATTACAAACTGCCACTCACAGGTGTCAAATACTAGAGCAACCCCTGAAGTGAGGAGTAAACCAAGGTGCTTGAGTCACCCTGTACTTGCCTTGATTTTGCCTTGATGGTACAAGGCAAGGCCTAGCAGATGATAGATCTCCGGCTGATGTCTGTTGATCCGAATCGACTCCAAGAAATCATTGGTTGCTCCAACATAATCCTGAAACAGATGAAACAGTTCATGAACTGATCCAGGAATGCCTCTGCTGAATATCCGTCTCAGTAATTGTAATAACTTTGCCAATAGAGGCAAAGGGCACTTTAGCTTGCTGTCATTTAACAATGCATATCCTCTGACAAGTGGACAAATTTCACGAATGCCCACAGCCTAATTACTGAATGGACATTAAAATATTTTTGTCTTGACTGAAGATGCCACAGTGTGTAAATACTTAATACAATAAAAAAAAAAAAAACACTTTAAAAAAATCCACCTTTGCATCAGTGATTTACCATAATATACTCACTGAGTTACTTAAGAGAAAAAAAAAAGACTTTGCAAAATTTCTTGCAGAGAAACTGGTTAGGAGCCAGTAAGGCTAAATCCAAACCTCTCTCTGTGCTCTCCAATCGCCAGGTACTTTGTAAATTTGTCTTTCTAGAGGCTCACACAACGCATCCTTTAAATTGTGTTAACATTGTTACAAACAATACACACTATCTGGCACTGTAGTCGTTAGCCATTTCTTAGTTGGGTTTTACTTGTAAATTTCACCTCTTCTCTGAAGTAGACTGTGGCCCTATGTGCATACAGCTTGGCAGATGGCTTGAGGGCAATAGCTTTGGTCATATCTGACATGGCTTCCTTATGCATTCCAAGGGCAGAGTAAACCTGAGCGGACAAGAAATGCAAAGTGAACATGCTTGATAATGCAAAGTGAACATGCTTGATAATGCTTGGTGCGTCATGGTAAGTCATGTAAGTCCATTGCAAGTAATTCAGTCTTAAGCCACACCACAAGCTATTTAACTAAACTGTGACAAATGCAGTCCCTTGTCACCAATCACCCTGTCACTTTAACAGGACTGGTCTTGTGACAGGAGTTGTGACTTGACTTGTAGCTGGACTTGTGATGGATTCAGCTACAACACACTGCTCACGTACAGTGTTTAGTAACCTCCTTTCGGGCCTGAATGTTGGTACTGGATGTATGCACTTGATACCAGTATGCCGATTTCTTGTGACCATATGATGGGCTGACGGGAACACTATTGGGTCACTGGGCAGAGAATCATTTGTTTCTTGGATGCTGCTGCTCATTTCGTGCGAAAAGGACAAACTGGCCACCTTCTCTTAGCGTGGTAGAGAAGGGTCGTGATGACAGACGAGCATCTGGTCTTCACTTTCTGAGGGGCTGTTTGTTTTACGCAGATCCAGATAACAATCAGCGATCCGACATTGATTCAATGACACCAGAAGCCGCCAAGTAGATGGTGTGAACCAGCTTTGGGGATCACTGATCGAGATTCGGATCCATGTAAAACAGGCCGGCCCTGAGTGCTGAAGAAGTGGGGTGCTCCAGATTTCACCAAGTTTCAACGTGAAACTAGCAGGTATAGGGGTAGTAGATTTTCAAGGAAAACTGGGCTGTGCTGGAATAAGATAAAAAGGGCATCCACAGTAAGTTACAAGACAGTGATTCAGCTGACTTCCCTGAAGGATGTCGGGAGTTTTAGGGGGTATCTGAGGATGCATCCCAATCGATTGCCTAAGGCTAAAGCTATGTCTTCACTCCATTGGAAATATGCAGAGGCGTACTGACAACAGACATAGCTGTAGTTCTGGAAACCCATTTCAGACACAGCCGGAGAGCAGATCGTGTGACATCAGACAGGAATATGGGGGTCAAGGGTCACAGAGACCCAATCCAGTGGGAACACACTTCTTTGCCATAATACACATTTCCCAATGTCCGTGTGTATTCAGAGGATATTTTAACCACAGTGCATATTGTTGGGAAGTGTGAAATGGGAGAGGAGGGATGATTTGGTGGTGACTTAAGAGTACAGGGTCAAGGGGTCAAGGGTCAATGGGACCGCTCACCTCTGCTCGTCTTTCCCATCCTTCTTCTGCACTAGGCAGGAGCTCGATGGCCTTGTTGAAATCCTGAAGAGCCAATTCGGCATTCACTGGAAACTGAAAAAAAAACCAACAAATAAGGGTTTTGTGTGCCAATCGGTTTAATTGTATTGTTACAAAAATTCCCAGCACCAGTGCCCTAGTGAGCATCTTCATGTCATTTAAAACTCGCACAGTCACCAGATGCAAAGTATCATACACGATTGTTTCAATGAGGCCTGTTTACATAGTGCACTCAATTACAACGCAAAACCAAAACTTTCATTCAAGTGCACAACGATGAGACATGTAGAGAAAAAAGCATCAAAGCCTCCAAACACCACATTTTCCAAAACTTCCTTAACACTGACAGAGTTGGCTTAATCACGACCAAACTTTTACATGAGCGAGACCCTCCAAAGGAAGTGTAAAGCCATGTCCTACCCGCACACCCTTCTTAGCATATGCTGCACCTCTAGTGTGGTAGGCTCCTACAAGATCTGGGTGCTCCTTCACAACTTCATTTATGTGCATAATGGCATCATCATAATGGCCCGTGTTGAGAAGGACGACACCATAAGCTGATTGGAGAAAATTGACACAGACGTACGATGTTTAAAAAGTCCTACACAATCCAACAAAATGCTCAAATATGAAACCCTCTTTGATGTAATACAAAAGACTGCAACAATCAATCTTTTGCTCAAAACTCAGATTAAGGCTATCCACTCCGAGCGGGAACAAAAGAGGGTGTGTTTTAAATGAAAATGATGGTCCTTTGGTAGGAACTTATAGTGTAGGCTTGCAAGTTTATGCCTGTTTGTCGTGGGGCCTGCTGAGTACGCGCTACAAATTTATGCTTGAATGTATAGTCTTTGCGTGCGCACTGAACACATGCAGGAACCCTGATGGAAAACCTCTCACCAGCCTGTCTTTCTATCGCCGGTGAGGGCGCACTTCAACTCAGGGCGGATTAACTAATCAACAAAAGGCTTCAAATGATTTTACTTACTGGCAATTGAAACTCCCACCCTGAATGTTAATGAGTTCATAACTCATTTAATACACATAAATCTATAAAAAATGAAGGCAAGAAATACATACCAGAGGCTTTGTAAAGGGTCAAAGAAAATATTGCTCACCAACGTATACATCATGACTCACCTAGCTTGTGGTCCACTTTTCTGTTACCTGTGGCAAAAGGGACAAGTCCCTTTTCTACCATTGCAAGGGAATAGGTCTGAAATGAGAACATGTTAGGCTCAGGTAATGGATGTTTTGTCTTCTCCCAAAAGGATGGAAAAATCGGAAATACATCTAACGTCCGCTTTACTTTCAAACAAACAGACACGACAGGGAGGACACAAGGCTTCGGCTCCAAGGTCTGAAAAATTGTAAAAGACGGCATGCATGCATGGGTGCTCATGCACATGTGCACATCTGCACGACAAGAAGATTAGAAAGTTTTAACTGTCATACAAATGGTCAAGAATAGATCTAAGGAAATGACTAACTCTCCTCGATCAGAAATTATGAAAACAGCGCCATGATTCAAGGTTGTATGGATGAAACTGTACCCAAAAAAATTGAGTCAGAAAAAGATCGGAGATGAATGGGTTTACATATAAAATGACTGCTACTCTATACTTGCACACAGAGAACATGATTCATCACACTGTTCTGGCCTACAATAACAATCACAAAAAACTAATTTGAAAGGAAAAGTAGATTGAAAAAAAACCACCCAGATTGTATGGTATAATACGTCATGACATTAAACACAGGTGTTTTATTTGAGAATTTTTTCCCGACCTTTTAGGATGCAACTGAAGCATAACAGTAACATTTTATGGCTTTCACATGAATCACAGTTGGGATGTACACAGCCCAGCACGCTTTGTCAGTAATAAAGTTTGTGTGCTACCCTTTCCCTATCTCTGGGTTCTAGCCTAGTATGGTCAGTTTTGCCTTTTGCGGACCATGGTCAGTTTTGCCTATTGCTACCCTCACTGGCTGCTTTTACATCCTAATTTCATCCGACTGCCATTCTCACATTAAAATTCCAATTGATAAAAATTACAATTTCTTTGTGAATTCAGTCAAATGGTTCCACAAATGCCAAATGCATCCCTGAATTGACAAGTAACTGGCAGATTTAATCAAATATCTTTTCTCTTGCAATCCTCATCTCTCTTTTTTTTAACACACATCTTACTTACTGAAACAACAGCTTTTACAAACTCAACACTGTGGAACTGTAAACTCAAAACAATGCTACATGAACAACAACTTCCTCTGGTGTGCCATACTCAACAGCAAGAATGATTTATCTCAGAAGTGGCTCAAAATTACCTCCACAATTTTGGGGTTGTTAGTCTCCTCAACCCAGGATGCTGCCATCTTAGCGCAGGCCCCAGGAACCATACGGGCATCTCCTGATTCTGTGGATAGCAAATGACAAGGAGTCAAGGATACAGACACTTGCATGAGATACATGTAGCAAGAGGTTGGAGGTCTGAATCCCAGTCATCTTCCTGAGAACTTTCTTCATCAGTAAGTCGTGTACAGCCTACACTGCAAATAGCTTATAGCATTTACAAATGACTAAAATGGCTGCATCCAGATGGACTCCTCTTTATATTTCTTGGCACTGATTAACGGACAACTAGGAGAATCAAGTTTTTAATCCAACTGCTTTAAAAGTGCAACTCTGGTTTTAATTTTGAGTGGACAATGTTAGAGTAAAACTCCCTCTCTAATCCAAATGAAGCTTTTCAATTTATGTGGATATTTGGGAGATTGTGTTAATAATGGAAAGATCAATGAAATTGGTTTGTCTTCCATCTGTACCCTGAATTTCACTGCTGAAAGAACAGTTATAATTTGATGAATTACATGCACCTGTATATGTGGACTGTTGCCAGAAGCAACTTCCACCTTCTTTATGTATTTCAAAAGGTCAAATGTATCACGTATATAACAGACTCAAAAACTACTTCTAATACACTTTACATGGAACTGCACCAACGACGTCACTCTGCATGAATTGATTCTCTTGGTTTAAAAATGTGAAATAGTCATAACAAATTCCAATCATCTACCGGTACAAAACAGATAAACCCTGAGGCCTATTGGTTTCATCTGCCTCTCCTTTCCAAGCCAACGTTAAAACCACTCCCAGCAAAATTGTTAAAACTGATGCCCCTGATGCTATCTGGGCCCAAGTTTCCACTGTACCCAACTAACTGAGGAAATTATTCAACATATAGATCTCTTTCATAGGATGCCATCATCAAAGGCAAATTACAACTGTGTATACAACACCAGCAGGTGCATCTGCATGCAGTGTGGAAATATTCTATACATGCATGCATGTTACTCCACATACAGGTGTCTTCAAAATACGGCGCAGCTGACGTACATGACAAACATGATTTATTTAAAAAGGGCAGGTTTATAAATTTGGCAATCCTAGAAATAGTCATTTGCCACTTACAAGACTAAAGTATACTGTACAAAAACCACTGCACCTGAGAGAGTTTAATTTCGAAAATGTCATAAAAACAGATTTGTGCCTCCACTGCTTGACAATGCTCTTCAAAAGCCAGAGGCCACATAATCGACTGGCATGTGATTCAATTCTCACTCAGACAATGAAGTGGTTTTTCCTGTCTCACTTTTTATGACTAGCTTATCACAATGCGCAGCGCCGGTACATGTGATGTAGTTAAAATTGCACTGTATAACAATTACAGAATGCAAACATACAGAGAAGGCTCCAGGCCATGTCAGGTCGAGAAAATAAAAATGGTTCCACTTGGCTGCCGTCAAAAGTTGGGCACGCTGTGAGTAACAAATACAATCGCACACCAAAAAAAAACACTCTCTAATCCTTGACAACTCACTAGGTTTTAGAGGGCATCCTTTGAAACTTGAAGCACAAAGGACGAGTCATTGTGTTCCTGCAAAGCTGTGGATTTGGGGGAGTTTCGGGACTTTTCCCAGCAAAAATAAGCAAGATGTTACATGTGCAGACAAATCCGACGACCAAAATTAGAAGCCATTACTATGGGGCCATCCTGTTTGCATGCAGGTGATGCGTACGTGAAATTTCTCCTTGACCAATAGGCAGTAGTCAATTACCGAAGTGCACGCACGCTCTGGTTGAGACAAATGCGTGAGAGTAAATGGCCCCTCGGAATGGCATCTCGTGGGATTTGTCTACAGACAATATTCAGTCTAACATACATAGTAGTATGTACGTGTAACGTAAACAATATACATCACCATTTTGTTCAGCGCATTGAGTCATTGCCTTCTAAATGTGTCTTATCTGGTAAGGCAGAACAAAAAATAGCTTTCTGGTGGGCCTACAATAAAAAAAGGGTTGGTAGGTAGATAAAATCTATTCTGCTTTAAATCTGTTCTGCATGATCTTTTAGTTGGGGCTAACAACTAGTCAATTTTTGAATAGGGGAAAATGTTTGAGGGAAAAAAAGAACTGCTACAGATTTGGAGTGTTTATTCCAAGCCCTATAAATTAACCCTTAACCTCCAAGATCCTTCAAAATCCATCAGGAAGTTTGAGAGGAATGGCAGAATTAACAAACGCTACGCTGTGATCTTTTGTTGGGGGGAGCTAAGAAACGTTTGATCATAAAGGACTTTCACAAAAATCCCATGCATACGAAGAAAGTAAAAACCTGCTGCGTCTCTGTGCAATGGGAAGAAACTTTGGCATACATATCAATCTCTCCCAATCTCACAATGCAAGCAATGACCTCTTGGTGAGTGTTATGCTCCAACAATAGATTCCAGCTAAAGTAATGCAGTTGGTGAGCCAAACTACAGTCATCATATTTCAATCAAACTTTCTCCAGTTTTTACTGCTCAAAACCCAAAGATTTAATCTAAAATACACCGACCAGGCATTTTGTTTATTACACAAAACAATATTAGGACTTTGCGAGCATGTGTTGCCAATGTGTGTCACAGCTGAGCCAACCCAACTGCAGCAGCATACATGTAGTGTGCACCGTGCCAATAGACTGCATTAATAAGTCAGCCATCTTGAATTGAAAGTGAGGTTAACTTTTCATTTTTGGGGAACCTGAGAGTAAATTAACAACAACAAAACAGAAGTTCATTATAATTTACAAATTAATGTGAGTTTTACATTTGAATAATTTAAAATTTGTGATGTTTTAAGCCAAATTAAAAAAAACGAAAAAAAGGTTAGGAACCCAAAAATGTCTGACACCAAACCATTTACCAGTTTACACTGAGTGTGACAGACTCAGGGAAGTTGACCAAAATTGGCTTCCAAATGAATTAGGTCTATAGCTTGGATTGATTGTACCACTGGGGCGTAAGGCCTGCACACTGTACTGCAAATCACTTCTTTCCATGAACATACCACATGCTTGGACAAGCTCCCCAATGGTGACAGTTTCCATGATATGCGGGGTGACGCTCAACCCACAATGAGCACAGCTACTCTCCTTGTAGTCAGCTACACCCGGATTGCTCAACTGGTTCAGTTCTGGGGAGCCTGCTCCACCAAGTCTCTGCTGAATTACACAAGAGGGTTGAACTTTGAAATTCCAAACTAAGCACAGGTCTGCAACTCAACTTACAGGTTAATCAAAAGGGTAAATTTACATGACTTCTTTGAAATTTCTGGTGTATTTAGAAATCCGTAGAACAGATAACATTTGTTTTTATCTATATTAATGAAAATCTGCAAAACTTTTTTTCAGTTTGAAAAGACCCTAAAATAATTTTTAAACTTACAGGACATATTTTCTGCTGCTAAAAACTGCTGCTCCCCTGTATGTTAACTATTAATGGACTGGAAATTTGGAACTAAGAAACTTTTCCAGTTTTGTAGTTCATGATTCCCTACGGATGTTTGGATATCACAGAGGCAAGTTCCCACCATGCTACCTCCTACCCATAAAACTGTGGGGCTCATCATTCCACCTCCCAGAGAGGCAAAAAGATGTGCCAAAGTTCTAGGGATAGCCTGCCACCCGGTAAATAAAGCCAATAACAAAATACAATTATGAGAGTATTACTGCATGTACTGCTACAAGTGCTGGACTTCAGAAACAATCCCAGAAGTTGTGAGTATCCCTAAATCTATGGGGCTCATAGTTAACTTCTCCAGTGTCAAGAGAGGCGATGGATGAACCTCATGAATTCTAGAATCCCATATGATCCGACATTGTATTTTTCAAAGAGCCCACAAGTTCCCGCCACCTTTCATATTCCTTAAATATATGATTTGAAAACCACCAAGAAGTATATATCTAATGAAGAATACTAATTTAGGAGTGAAAACTAGTATTTCAAGTTTTGTTTGAAAATACTTTGAACATTTTCTGTTCAAGTATGGAAGTAAGAAATCTCCTAGCCCCACTAGTGTGGCACGGATTCTCACTCCAGATCCATCCTTAGCCACACATCCGTATGCGCAATTTCGTGTTGGCGTACTGAACATTTTCGGTGCACCCACTAATCATCGTAGGTGCAATTTCTTTTGCACACGAACATGATCCTTGATCTTTCCGCTTTCTAAAAACCATTTAATGATTTCACTCACGTTATTCAGATATTTTCCAGTCTTTTTGCCAAAATCCATTCGATCTAACAGGCTCGCTCTCTCAGTCGCCATCTTTAAAATAAGATTGTTGAACAATACGTCACTTGACCTCTCAGCGTCTTGACGGCTCTTCCATGTCAAGACATATGGTCAAGTGACGTATTGTTCAACAGTCTTATTTTAAAGATGGTGATTGAAAGAGCGAGCCCGTTAGATTGAATAGATAAAGGCAAAAAGACTGGAAAATACTTGAATAACGTGAGTGAAATCATTAAATAAATGGTTTTTAGAAAACGGAAAGGTCAAGGATCATGTTCGTGTGCAAAAGAAATTGCGCCCACGATGATATGTGGGTGCACCGAAAATGTTCAGTACGCCGAAACGAAATTGCGCAAACGGATGTGTGGTTAAGGACGGATCGGGAGTGAGAGTCCGTGCCACACTAGTGGGGCTAGAAATCTCCATGGTCATAGCTACAAACAAGATCATAGTGGCCGGATATATGGAAATCCTTCCAAACCTGTCTTTGTAAAGACTGTTCTTGGAGGACCCTGTCTAGTATTTCTTTTGGAATACCATGGAGCAACGACAGTTTATGAGTTGTCTGCGGTGAGCTGCATTGACTTCTGTCGCTCATCTGGTAATGGACGTTCACCATGTCCACGTTCACTCGCACGTTCTCCCTCACAGCCAAGACGACGACAGCAAACAGGCTGCTAAAGCACCAAACAACTTGGAACATCCCTGCCATACTTCATTCAGACTCATGTCAAAAACCCGAAACTTTAGACTGGGCCTAGTTGGTTAGTCAACAACATTTCTCTATGTCAAGTCCCTCCATCACGTCCACGGTCGACAAATGTGCACCTGCCTGGCTAACCGCGCTGACAGTGCGAATCAAAGATTGTATAGCGCCGCGCAGCGGCGAAAGATGGGGAACTTCACCAAGAATACACGTAAAACGTTGTTATCACATAGGCGCCATTCTGGTTGAACTACGACTGCGCAGTGCATGTTAATGCGCAGGCGCCACGATAGGCACGCACACACACATGAGGAAGCGACTTAATACTAGCCCGTGAAACCTGGTGCGCTACTTTTTTTCAGTAGCTGGGATGACAAATGATTCATGAAGAGGGGACCACACCATGAACGTTCACACTCGAATGGCGCCTATGGCGATAACACCTTTATGGCCGAATTACCCATCCTGCGCCGCAACGCAGCGCTATATAATCTTTGTCGTGCATCATGCACGCGCGCCGGTGCCTGACGTGTGTAGTTGAGTCCAAAGCCGGTACCCTGTCCCTTTTACAAATTATGATAGGATGACTGCATGTGAGTACCTGAATACAACCATTTCTAAAATTGCGGCTATCGTAGCAACAGCGGATTTTAGTCTCAAACTCTAAAACTTGCCCCTCCCCCTCCCTACGGAAAAAAAACAGGGGAGGGGAGGGAAAGCAAAGGGAGATAAACAGCAAAAAGTGATGACTGGGGGTGAAAATCCCCAATTTTCATTAAAAAACCTCAGTGCTCAGTTTTCGACTCCCCACGGGAAAAAACTGCGCCCGTCTGCTCCACACTATCAAATCTAATTGAAAGCATGCCACAGTTTGACGTCTGCACACGGTCGTCTATTTAAATGCTTGCAAAAGCCATTGCTGTAAGGCCTTCCTTCTACCCTGAGCCTCTGATACGAACTTAACTGCATTTTCAAGGAGGCCACCTCTTTCTGTCTTTGGCTAATTTGACGTGAAATGAAGTCCCACTAAGCTTTATTACTAGCCGTTGTCAAAAATAGTACTCCAAAAAGTGACTGAAGTGAGAATAAAGTCTGCAACTGGATATTTGTAAGCTTGCAACCCCTAAATAATGTTGGTAAGAAGTGTAAAGCACTGTTGTGTATGTTATTAACCAAGAGATAGAAACATTTATTTTTGTTTAGTTCAAACATGATGCACAGAAATACATGCAGCTTCAAACTAGAACGAACCACGCAGCGACGAAGCCGAACTTTGGAAAACGCCAGTGAACATGCGCCGTCTGGGCTTTGGCTTATCTCGCTAGCTAGCCAGCGTCTGATTGTTCCGAAATTGATCGAAAGTATGCGTTTCATCCGTGCTGCTCCCACGTCAAGGTTATCGTATCGTGGATCAAACTGTGAAAAGTTGTCTGATGTGCAAGCCTCTTGCTGACTGCAGAGACGAACGTTAATCTGGCTCTCACTGGTTGATCCTGTGCCAGCCCAGGGTCATGACATTCGCACTCAGTACTAGAACCTGCCGGGGCCTTCGGCAACATTTCGCCTGCATCCTGCAGAACTCCGTAATAAAGAAGTCTTCAACATGTTCGAGTATGTCAGGGTCGAAAAGATCAGGACATAGGCAGCATCATCACTCATCTATTCAATGTCAAAGGGCTCATCAAAATATAGTGAGTTTGCCATGTTTTAGGGGTCTTACTAATTACCGTCATTGTCCATTGTCAAACACATTGTCCGTACGTATGATCAGTGATTGATGCAAGATATGTTGGCCACCTGCGCAATCGCTCTGTCTTCATGCATCAGTTGATCAAATGCAATAATGTAAATTCAATAATTCCACGATCAGCCAATCACCTTTTGGTTCTTATTTACGGTTTTAAAGATTGTTTCAAAAAAAGGGAAGCAAAGTCAGAGATTTCATGATAAATCAACTGATTCGCTACGTATGCGATTGCGTGATTGTGCTGATTGACTGATTGCAACCAACATCGTGTATATCAACATTTACCATGTTTGCATATTGTTATTTTTCATACCATACCTATATTTCAACAACTTAATTGCCCATGTTATGCCCCAACTATAGCATCAGTCCCATCTGTAGTTAGGGCCGGGACAGTCCCAACTAGAGTGCTATAGTTGGGCTTACCCAACCACAGCACAGAGGTCCAGTGTGCATGTACCCAGCATGTGCCAAAGTGATATTGTTTTCAATGTCATGTCATGGATGAATTGCCAAATTTTAGATGAATCCTTTCAAATGTGAGATGCATAACCTTAGATAAGGTTGAGAAATTGGACAACAGTAGTTGGGTCAGCCCAACTGCAACACTACAGTTGGGACTGCCCCAATTATAGTTGGGACTGATGTTATAGTTGGAGCATAACAAGTATCTATATACACGTTATGGCTTTCCTTAGGACATTGATACTTAACTCTCCTAATTTTTGTTTCAGGTATCTCCTACAGAGAACAAACCAAGATACTTCAGGGAAGACACGCTACTGCCCTTCTCAGCTTTTCTAACAGACTCATTTGACCGTCAACACAACTACCTCAGAATCTCGCTCACAGAGAAGTGCAGCCTAAGATGTGAGTCATTCTGGGCTGAAGTACAAGGGAAATCATGATGCTCTTTGTAGTGCATTTAGGCCTGTACATTTGTAAACATTTCTGTGGCAGGTGCTGCTAAGTTCGAGCAAAACTTTTGAGAAAATTTAAAACTGTAGTCCCGTGTAATATCCTGCAATTGATCATCTGTTCTTCATATTTTACACACGCCTCAAACTGAAGTTTGCATTTGTGCCCTAAACATTTGTTGGGCACACTGTGACACTCATGTAAATATCAATTTAAATTGTATGCACTAAAAAAATAAAGAAGTTCCCTTTTGCAACAGCAGTCATGTTTTTCCCCGATAGGCTCCTTGTGGTGCAGTGTGTAGTGTACATTGTTCATATGCACTGTATCCTGGTAGCCACTGTGCTCGATCTAACCTTCTACAGATGTTGTGCTTGTCACCAACAGGTCAGTACTGCATGCCCGAAGAAGGGGTGGAGTTAACACCTCAGAAGAAGCTCCTTGCTCCCGAGGAAATTCTCAGAATTACTCGGTTGTTTGTGAAGGAGGGTGTGGACAAAGTGAGGCTGACTGGAGGGGAGCCCTTGGTTAGGAAAGATATCATCGACATTGTGGGTAAGTCATATAAAGTGCAGTGTTTGCTTACACTTTGGGTTCTGAATTGTTCCATTGTTATTATGGAGCCTTCATGATTTTGTGTTCATCCCAGTAACAGTGTCAGAGGTTTGGGTCCTTGGGTAGGATAACTGACTACGTTGTGACACTACAGGGATGTTTCTCGTAGGGTTGTCTTTTTCTTGTTTGTTTTTCTTCAATTTTCCAAAAATGTTGGCTGTTGTTATATGTAAATGTATCCACACAATTATACCACAGTGTGATCGCAAGACCTGTTAATGCCTAATTGGTGAAGGATGGAGTAGCTTACTTGAAGTTATAAAGAACCAGTGAATGTGTTCATTATGCAAGATGGCAAAGTAGCTCCTTACACGTACATGCCTTGGTCATGTAAAGTGTGATTATTTTTCAGCTGTTTTGAATTGGCTGAGTTTGACAAAGTCCAGGTCAAAGTATTAAATGGAAAATGAAATTGAGGAAAAATACTCTTCATTCGTTATTTTTTTGCCAGGGAGCTCAAGGATTGAAGTAGGTTTTCATGTTGAAGTAATTTGTCTCATATATGTTTGGTGTTCATTTAGATTAGAATATTTCAATTTTGCATGTAAAGCCAGTGATTTTCCATTTCTGGTATTTTAATTTTTCATTTTAGATAATGCATCCCAACCATAAAATCAGTTTGGGCATACATGTAGGTGGGATGTTTTAAAAGTCACCTAAGGATGACAAGCCAAACCTTTTCTGTCCAGCAATTTCTTTTGCCAAAATTGTAAAGAAACAAAATCGAATTGGTATTTTGTGCTTGGAATTGAAAATCTCAGGAAGAATGCAGTGTATATGTAACGATTTGTTGTTCTTTAATACAAAATCAGCACATATCATAGAATTTGTTTGAAAACCTGAATTTGATAAAAGGCTAAATTGAATAATTTTGTTGAGTGAGTTGCTTTTTGCTACTTCAGCGGAAAATCATTGGCCAAAAGTGTGCAGTATGACTTGTAACTCGTGCATGATTCTTTGTGCTTTGTGTGCGTGTGCTTTTCATCTTTCCATAGAGCAACTAGGTAGGTTAGAAGGACTTAGAACCATAGCAATGACGACCAATGGCGTAGCGTTACACAGGAAACTACCAAAACTCAGGGAAAGTGGGCTGAACCTGCTGAATATCAGCCTGGACACGTTGGTACCTGCCAAGTTTGAGTTCATCACCCGAAGGAGAGGTTGGTGTCTCCGGCAGCTTTGTAAATAGACTGCACTATTTACCAAACACGTTTGGTAGTAAATCTTAGTCACAGCACTCCTGTCTTCCTTGGCATTTTTCCGAGGAACCTTCCTGAATCCACCAAAATCCTCTGCTATGCAAGAAACCCTTTACCCATTCTTTGTACTTAAACTTTCAAGGGTTATCAAGCCCTGAGTAAAGTATTCACAGTTGCTGGGCTCAACCATTCAAAGCTTCTGAACCTCCTAGTGAATTCTGGAGAAGCTGGAAGGGTTGGTACTAACCTGATTGACCTCTTCCACTCATTTCAACCTCTCTTCTCTGTCACACTGTGCCTCATACTTCCCATGGGCGTGTCCCGTGCAGACGACCCAATGCAGCTGCAATGATTTCTCTGTTCGAATGGATTCAAACAGTTCAACTTTTGAATACCTGAAACACTGTAGCCAGAATGGCGGTTAAACAAGAGCATTTCTTCAGTGAGCCAGTTAACTTTGGTATTTCAAGAAAACAAGGCCGTTCGGGAACTAAGCACGTGCACGAGTCTGCAAAGGGCCGTGCTGATTCAGGCAAACCTCACATGCGAATCTGGATGACCTCGGATGCGCTTTACTTTGGGCATGCACTGAACTTGCTCACTGAAAATGCACTGAAGACAATGTAGCAACTGTTCCTTCTATTGTTCTCGTCAAGCCATTGTCCAGCATGGTGTGCATTTATATTTTATTAGCTCAGTGAAATGTCTTTCCCCCTTTATTTTCTGCATGGTGTCAAATGAAAAGCAGGTGTTTGAATTCTTGTGGTTTTGTTTTGCGCACCAATGAATGCCTCCAAGTGCTTGAAATGTTGTGAAGACGGTTCTCTTTGTGCTTTCTGATGTTCCAAGGTTTCAACCAAGTTTGGAAAGGACTGGAAACGGCAATCGATCTGGGTTATGATCCCGTCAAAATCAACTGCGTGGTCATGAGGGGGCTAAATGAGGAGGAGATATGTGACTTTGTTGAACTCACAAAGGACAAGGTAAGACCTTCCTGGACAGTTCTTCAGATATTTATTTTATTTCTACACTTAGGGGCTGTTTGAATATTTACCACATTTTTTGTCACTATCTTTCCATAATTGAACTTAGAGTCAAGCTTCGTATGAAAAACTGGCCACGGTAGGTTTTTAAGAAAGGAAGCTAAGATTTCAAATACTGTTGGTTTTAGATTTTTGTGTCATAGATGAAGTAATTGTTCCTTCGGAAGCAAACAACAGCTTTTGTGTTTTGAAAAGAAGCACGGCTGTGGACAGACGTCATGTCATTCCCAGGGCAAAACCTGGTCGTTCCAGGAATCTAATATAGTTGTCACGATGTCAAACTGTTCGTCTTGTATTTCCAATTCAGTCACACTGATTAAACACCAACAGTTGACTTTAAAGTGCCAGTTGTTGACTGTTGTGAAGTGCCTGGATGTGTCATGGGCTTTCCACTAAGTTGGAGTCCCATAATGCATTGCCAGTCATTATTTTCAACAGTACCATGTTTCCTTGCAAATAACTGATGATGCAATTCATTACCAGCCAATTGAAGTGCGCTTCATCGAGTACATGCCCTTTGATGGGAACAAGTGGAACGACAAAAAGATGTTCACCTGTGGCGATATGCAGCGGACCATTCGAGAAAGGTGGCCAAATTTTGCCCCTCTGGAAGATACAGAGCCCAATGCAACTGCTGTGGTTAGTATGGTCTTCAGTGTACTGTGGCTCAGTCTTGTTGGTGTAATAACTTGCTTAGGCAAGTGGCTAAAAAGACTAAATGGGGAAGAAAGAATTAGTAAAACAGTACAAAACTAAAACACTTGCTACTTTTCCAGCCCCAAACACCTGGCTTTACTAATCATGGTAAGAGGTGTCCGTGTGAATTTTAAAAGTGTTTCCCCATTTCGTTCCCTGTTACGTCTGTTCGGATGTATGTTGTGTTGACCCTCACCAAGTCCTTTCTACTTTTCCCCCAACTTCTCCAAGCAATTTCTCGACACAGTCTCGTGTATATATTAGATGCAATTTCATAAGCGGGGTTCCTCTAATGTGAAAAAGTATGTGGGTAATTCCAGAAATTAGGGGTCCAAAAGTGTGACATTTTTGTGTCCCTGTTACATCTGACCTTTGTTACTTGACATGGAAATATCACCGAAATTGATTTCAAACAATTACTATTTGTTTGGCTGGTAATTTGCATTAATTCATCACTCTTAGAAATATTAGAAAATGTGTTCTGAACTTACAAAATCACGTCAGATGTGGTAGGGACACACACAAAAAATGGACCCCTGATCTCTGGAATTACCCACATCCATCTGTTTTCAAAGCCACTAACAGACAGCTAGTCTTATACTAGTGGAACCGTGTAGTATTTTTGCCACCTATTGGGATGTCCTTGGTTTGGTCAGGTTTACAAGGTGCCTGGTTACCAAGGGACAGTTGGATTCATTGCTTCCATGACCAAGCCATTTTGTGGAACGTGTAACAGGCTAAGGCTTACAGCTGATGGCAACCTCAAGGTAAGCATAACGTAGTCATTCCATGTATTTGCATGTAATTTGCTCTTGAAGTTACTTCCTCTTGTAAGGCATGTGTTCCTCATGATTTCTTCCGTGTAAAATGACCAAGATTATTTCTGTCTTCCCTGGGGGAAGCCACTACTGTACCAATTCATCACAATTTTTAAAACTAAAAGATACATTTACGTTTTGTTTCCATCTTCAAATGTAATGGAAGAATCTTTCATTGCTGAATTGTGAGCTGAACTGCACACTGCTAATAAGTCTTGTTCCCGACAACTGGTATGGAACTTCAAAGGAAAATTCTCTTATCTCAGTTCACCAAACTACGATAATGTGTGAACTGGCCTGAAAACAAAGTCAAATTAGCGTACACAAGGTTGGTAAGATAGAAATTGAAACTTGAATAAAATCAATTTTGTTTGACTTGTATTTTTATTTCTTGAATTTTTTCTTTTATAACTAAGTTTCATTTTTGTATACCCAAAATTTGAATATTAAAAGACGAATTTTTAATAATAGGTTTTGCCCTTACACTGAAGTGTAACACTATTTTCAGTGTTTTTCCAAGAGCTTGTGAAAAAAATTCACAAGCTTACTTGAGTGGGACACAAACCCATGACCTCTTAACCATGCGACTACCGAGCTTGCTGGGGTCAGCTGGCTGGTCCAAGTCAGATGTAACAGTGGGTATTGCAAACTGTTAGAAGATGTAACGTAGCATTTTGGAAAAGAAGACTGCCTTCCTTGGTTTGTGAGGTGTTTCTGTTTATCTTTCTAAGCATGTTTCCGACTGTCTCAAAAGTGGACATATTGAGCCTCTATTGTAACCGTGCTTTACAGGTTTGCTTGTTTGGCAATGCGGAGGTGTCACTGCGGGACGTTATGAGAGAAGGCGGCAGCGACGAGGACCTACTGCAGGTCATTGGCGCAGCTGTCGGCAGGAAGAAGAAACAGCATGCTGGTAAGCAAGAGATGATGGTCAGAAGGACCTGGGCCCAGTTATGTGCAGCAGAATGTATATCGAGAGGCATGTTGTCGTATACATATGCAGCCAGAAATGAGACAGCCAAATCCACACGGTCTTCCTTGTAGCACCGCTACACTGCTGCAGAACTGAGCATGCGCATTAACAAGCAAAAGTTCATAGGTACGCTATGAAAGCATCACATATCTGCGTACGCTTAGAACAGAACAGAACTGACTCACGTGTAGCATTCTGTAGCCCTTAATTTGTGCACAAGTCAATGGTGTAGCACTTTTTGCTACATGCCCTGCCCCTTCCTTTTACATTTTTCCGTGTAGCACTGTGTAGCACTGGGTTTGTGCACAAGTCTATGGTGTAGCACTTTTTTGCTACACGCCCTGCCCCTTCCTTTTTCATTTTCCCTGTGTAGCATTCTGTAGCACTTAATTTGTGCACAAGTCTATGGTGTAGCACTTTTTTGCTACACGCCGCGGCCCCTTACTTTTCGCTCGTCTTCGTCTTGCACTGTGTAGCATTAGTGTGCACTTTGAAGGTCTGGTTCTTAGACCATCCGATCGGCTGTGCCTATATCCTATTGCATATCACCTGACTAAACATTCTGTGTAGCATGTAGCACTGCTACACACACAGGTTCTGTCTTCTTCGGTTTCATTTCTGGCTGGGTATAACAATGTTGTCGTATTGAGCCAGTAGTACCACAGGTAGCGTGTTGCATGTTAGCTGGTTACTTTCAAGAAACTGATCCAGAACTGAATTTCTGGAGGGGTGGCAAATTTAGGATTCTGTATGTAATCTGGGTGTGAGGTTACACTCTATGGCTTGTAGGAGGGAGGGGAGGTGAAATAGGCCCCCCCCTTAAAAAATGTCTCATAGTTAAACTAGATACAAAATTGCATCATGTTTTTTTGGGGGGGTGGAGCATGGCTCTGGTCGTCCCTCACCAAATCTTTCAAAAGTCACCGGTGTTTACTTTACTTGGAAATCTCGTCATACAGACCCACTGAAATGTTTGAGAAATAGCCCCTTTTCTCAACTTCCCCACTCTCCCTGGCAAGGACTATTAGAAGGGAAGAAATTGCAGGGAGCATGCAGTCAAAAGATTTTAGATGCAAAAAAGGTGAATCTAGTGCCCGCCTTTTGAGCAAATCAGCTTTAAAAAGACAGAGAGCCTGTTGCTATGTGCATAAAGATAACTCAAATTGTGAACATTATTAATGAGATGGACGTGTTTCCCAATTTTTAGTAACATTGATGTCTTCCGGTATTTAAACTTCTCAATTACTTGGCCTACATATCTCACTATTTTGGCCTGAAGTCTAATGCCAGTGGTGCAACTGATGAAATAACCACACAAATATGGTAACATAGTTCATATTTTCACCATACGTCCTCATTTGTAAGTTTCTGATGCATTTTATCCTACAGGGATGTTCAGCATTGCCAAGATGAAGAACAGACCGATGATTCTGATTGGTGGGTGAGTCATTCACACCAGTCTCAAAGATACGTCCTTGACGTGTAACAATTATTTTGCTTGAAATCAGTATTTGTGTCCAACTGTAACTGCAAAATGTAATTGTGTCTAAAGTGTCAATGGAGCATTGATGTGGGTTGATATGAGCAGTTAAATAAGTGTGAAAAACAGGCATGTTGAGCATCATCCACCTCGAGCAGAAGTACCCCCCCTCCCTTCGGTTGAAAAGAGCCGCATTGCTCAGGATTGTTCAATTTGTATATGTGTATATTATATCTGTCATATCTTCCATAATATTTATGTTATATATGTTCCATATGTGTATAATGTTCCTGTTAAAAGGTGGGGGGCATCAATTTATCACCAGTATAAATATAGTAAGCTATTGGTGACACTGTTTAATGCATTTTGATTGTATTGTCCTCTTTCCCAGGTAATCAAAATCAGATCAGTACAGACATTGTCAGAGGAATTGGACCTGATTTGAGTCAGAAGTCAGCCTCTACTGTGATCAGCACTAATGTAGCAAAAGCCTTGTGGAGACAAGATGTGCCTCATATTGGGCATTGTTTCCTCTTGGCTAGAGAAGGAAACTCCAACAACATCCAGTGTGCCAAGCATTTGTCCACAAGCACATTTGTTTCAAAAATTGGACATCTCTTGAAACATTTCAAATTTGATATCCAGCCATGGGAACAGTCTGCATCCTGCCTAATTGACCATCAAACATCTGACTTCCACCTAACATCTAAACCTACACGTAACTCATCTGCATCTGACCTTTCTCCCTCTGATCTCTCCACATCTAACCTTCCCACTTCGGACCCTTCTGTAACTGACCTCTCAACCTCTGATCTTTACAAATCTGACCCCTTGCCATCTGCCCACTCAGCACCAGACCTTGCCCCAGTGGACCTTACCTCTAGTGGACTTTCAGCCATACAAGGGTCAAAGCAAACCGCCTCCACTGTATCAGTTGCAGACTCGGCATCTTCAACCACTGGAAAAGTGTCCCAACCAAATCTTACCCATGTGAGTGACAAAGGCAAGGCACAAATGGTGGATGTAGGTGATAAACCAGGAACGCCCAGGGTCGCCGTTGCGTCGGGGAGGGTTCTCTTGGGGAAAACCGCCTTTGGACTGGTTCGTCAGAACAGGATAGCCAAGGGCGACGTCTTGACTGTCGCACAAATAGCTGGCATCATGGCAGCCAAGCAAACAAGCAGCCTGATCCCCTTGTGCCACAATATTCCGATATCAAAGGTGGATGTGCAGTTGACCATGGACGATGAGACACACAGTGTCATGGTACGTGCAGAGTTGCGAACGGTTGGAAGGACAGGTGTGGAGATGGAGGCATTGACAGCAGTGTCCGTGTCGGCACTGACCCTGTATGACATGTGTAAAGCTGTCACCCATGACATTGTCATCACCGACATTAAATTGGTTATGAAAACAGGTGGTCAGCGAGGAGACTTCCAGCGCTAATGGGTGTAGGGACAAGTGAGGCTGACTATAATCAGAATTCGTGGTATTCCCCGTTGTGCGGACAAGCCCACCTTAAGTGGCACTTACATTCATCTCATTTTAGTTATGAGCTTTGATAAACAAAGCACTTTGTACCATTTTTGGATGAGGTTTTAAACTTGGCAGTTTTCTGCGAGGATGAAAATAAAACAGCATCATGAGATTTGGAGGGTTTTAAATTGTGTTTTCATGAAGTTAAAGCATCTAAAAATGTAAACCTGTCATTTAATCTGTCTTGGTTGATTGTGCAATCATTTGTTGTTGGATTAAATAACATGAATTGTGTCCTCACGAATCCGCTTCTTAAAATTGGTCAAAGTTTATGGTTTATAATATAAATTTTGGGGATTTAAAATAAAAATTCAATCACGTTATGATCAAATTATTAATTTGAGTTTAAGTTACCTTTTAAGCATTCGGAAACCAATGACTTGAATTCAAATTTGGCTGGTGGTGAAGAGGTCAGGGTAATATTATGTACTATTTTTTATCATCGTGTCATAAAATTTTACAATTAATGTGAGTATTTTCCGGTCTTGCTGTATATGCACAATGAATCGGAGACGTCAGTATGTACTCTCAGTAAATGCTCCTTTTAGGTGAAGAGATATTTTGCAAATTTTATTTTAATTTGTATTAAAACTGATAAGAAAATAAGTTGAACGAAACTTTCTTCCAAGTTGGTTCATTTCTGTTATTTCTTAACTGTCTACCACCGGTGATGTTAAGCAGAAGCCAACCGCAACGGCACATGTATTTTTATTTTCATTTAGACATACTGAAAATAAATTAGGGTGACAGGTATCTAGATAACCAAATTTTTACTATTATTCCTTTTGAGACTCGAGTCTTATAAGCTTGTACTTGAGTTGAGTCTCCATGAGAGATTCAAGTCAAGTCATTTACTCATCAAGTCGAGTCGCCAAGAATTGTTACTCAAGTCAGAATCGAGTTGAGTCATTGACTTGAGTCATTACAACTGCCAGGAGACTATGTCCGAACTTTGGACTGTATTTACTCTCGTTTTAACTAACCACGGTGGGACTGCAAACAGCTATGTGAGCACATGACATTAAGTCACCTGTTATCCGCGTATAGTCGGCTTGAATGAAGTCTAGACGACCTTTTCTCCCATGATGCTGTGTGGATAGAAATCAGTGGGTGTGGATCAATGGAGACCTCATTTTTTATTGTAGAATAGTTTGAAAAGGGTCTGGTTGGAATTCATCAGAATCTTCAAACTTCGGCAAATCTTAGTTGTAACAATTACAGTGTACTAACATTCAGGTTTCTTTCTTGTTAATCACATTTTGCTCATTATCATCGACAGCGGTGGTGCTCCTATAGCGAAGTACAACCCGAGACTCGTGCTTTTTACACAACACGCTGGGGTAACCACAGTCGAATAAAGGTACTATTATCTTGGGCCAGGAGAATTTTTTTCCAATGTGACATGTCAATACGGGAAGCGTCCACGAGGCATGAAGACTACTCTCCTTTAAGACTGGTAAAACTGTTTGTGTAATAAAAAGTGCACCCCGAGTTATGTCATGGATCTAGCAAGAAATGAAGCCGAGGGGTTACCCCCCCCCCAACTTGTCCAATCGCTACACACAACTCTAGACTATTGTTACCTAACACATCCTCCAGATGTCTCAAAAGAATTCCTCAGACGGTGAAACAATGACCAACACAAAGCGGGGGGGGGTTCTCTCCGTCTCATATCTTGCTTCATATGCCCGGAGTTGTTGACACAGTCCTGACAATACCTTATTACTATATCGTATTGTGGATAATAAGGATCCTCCTCCACTGACACGGTTGTCCAAAATGCGGTGTAAACACTCAAAAATTACTGTCGCAAAAGGATTGGACTTTTCTTTCATGATGATTTTTATTTTCAGAGGTTATTACAATATGTACGAGGTAGGCCTATAGTTAAAAAAACATATATAATGTGGTTTATTTTGGTTGGACAGTCGGTGTTAGCTCCCCCTAGTTGACAAACTAGTTCCAGAGACCTCAGGTAATCCAGACCGACTGTTCAACCGAAATAAACCATGTTATATTTGTATACTAGCGCTCTCGTTGATCAGCATGCTGTGGCATAAAGTTTACTCGTCTGCATTGCATTTCCACGTAGAGCGCTGGGACGTGCAGAGCTAAGTTGGAGCGCATGCTTTGGTGTCGCTAGACCATTTTGAATGGGGGGGGACCACATGAAATTTGCCGACGGACTGTCATGCAAAACAATAACAAGAGTTTTAGTATAGCGCCCCTATATATTATTATATTAGTACCCTTGCTCACTGGGCCCAATAAACATTCTAAATACAGTCTCAGCTCCCTGGGGAGTATACAGCTCGATGCTGCCATTTCGGCGCAAAGCAGCTAAATCAACCACAATAACCATCTCTGCCCTCGCAGGGTACCCAATTACTCCTGGGTGGAGAGAGAGGCAATGAGTGCCAAAGTGCCTTGCCCAAGGGCTCACGCACCATGACCCCAGGCTGGATTCGAACCCGCAACCTGTGGCTTTACTCGACTGCGAATCCGATGTTCTTAACCAAAAGGCCACGGGACTCTACTCTGGTAAAACGAGTGCAGTGTATCCCCCTTCTTTTCATCTTCGTTCTCTGTTTTTTTTTCCAATTTTTTTTTCTTTATTTTGTGATTTAGACCGTGATTTTGCCGACAAAACTAACCAATGGGGGTGACACACCGCCCCCTCTAGCGACACCGGTGAGTACATGACGTACTTAAAGGGTACCGAAATGAATAGGTCACGCGCATAATAAGAGTGTAAAAGGCAGAAGTGTGGGAGCCAGCGCATGTACCAACACGCATGCGTACTCCATTCGTTTGCACAGTACTCTCTGGTTCAAAATGACGTCACACTTCGGTTCTCTATATATAGACCTTTCTTTTGTCGTGTCACACTCGGAAGTTTTAATGGCAGGCCTTAGTATATCATCATAAGAATATTTCACAAAGTTAAAATTTCCTCAAACCCTCCCTGAATTCGAAGACTCATCATTAATGCCTGGTCATTAGTGTGGGTGTAAACGCCAGCTCACCTGTTGGACTCTGGTACAATACTTACTGGTGCTCAGTTTGGTAAAGCGTGGCAGGTGGTGCTACAATTGATTGGATAAGGTTTCCTTTTCATTTCATTTAATTAACGGGAATGATTTCGAGGAAGGTAGGAAGGTCTTGGCCCACGGCCAGTAGTTTAACGAGACGGGTATTTACTGGTTTTAAACAAAACAAATCAATTTAAATAAAACTGACGAACAGAAATATTATAAAGTACTGTCATGGAAAATCTTGGTCCAGAGCCGACAATCAGCAAATAGAGGAACTCCTTTTGATCATATTGGGTTCAAGGTGAAGGAATAAAGTTCCATACGAGAACATCGTTAATTTTCCCTAGAGTAGCATATCAGCCATTAGAAAGCCATAACGTCCTAAAAATGCAAACCAAGACTGGCTTTTTGTGCAAGATGAAAAAAATGTTCAGAGGCTCTAAATATACATGTAGGTCCTCAAAAAATCCCTTTCGCTTCCAACTCCAAACAATACTATAAAATCCTGAAAATCTTCTATAAATCTCGCAATTTCTGCCTTTCAACGATACGTGCAGATGCCCGATTCAGATCGTTCTTTGCAATTATTTTCCACAAAATGAAATTCCCCAAATCTTTCAAAATAGAAAACTTGAACTATGTTTTTAAACTTTAACCGTTCATCATAAAATTATGAGTAACTACAGAATCGGCGAACAACACATCAGTGATTCAAACGGTTCCAACAGAGTTCTTAGTGACTTTGGGGATGCTTTGCAGTCCACCACTCATGTGCACAATGCTGTGCTTGATTACCGGCTGCAAATTCCCAGCAGTTATGGCTTTCGTGGTCAGGGGATAGCCAAAGATGATCCAAGCATACTTTGAAGGATGTCTAACTTCAACACACGTGCCATGGTTCGGAGCATCGGTATCAGAACGAACTGGTAAAACAAAATTGCGCTCGTCACAGGATACGGATCAAACTCAACAATTTTCTGACAATGACAGTCTAACACACTGGACTAGAATTGCATTCTGCTCAACGGTCTAGAAGAGCACAACCCTTCGGCTATCAGGCTCTGGTCCCAACTGACTGGACCGCACCCAAAGCAACAGTCGCAGAAGACGTCAAGACACTCAAGGCGCCTTTCCATATGCGCGTCATCGCTTGCATCAAGTTGAGCATCCGTCAAAATCGCCCCCGGTGTGATTTTGACGGCCGCACACGTGTCCCTGAAAATGAAACGCATGGACGCATCGTGTGCGCAACGCAACTAAAAAAAACGTACGTATGGAAAGGCGCCTGAATCATGGCACAAAGCAAAAGACACTTATTACACATTTATTGACACGTCCAACCCTACTGAGTACTGAGTACGGTTCTTAACTGGGAAAACACACCCAGTGTAATCAGGTATGGAGAACATTCATTAGACTAGTACCCAATAAGGATGAAGGAATTAAAACATACACAAAATAAGTGTTTTTACAGGGAACTTTATTCATTAATCGCAATGACTTTTGCAATTTGATTACTACTAGAATATTCATTGCAGATCAAATGTGACACGATGTGGAAACTCGAATTTTCTGTGATGGTTATCAATGACGACCGTGTTTCAGAGGAAAGCTATCTATTCGAATTATATATCTTTGGCTTTGAGGTAACATTTTCGTTGAAATCTGTTTTCACGGTAACTTTCCATTGAAGTGAAAAATTCTCATTGCAGTTTACTTTCCACTGGGTGTGCCTTTCAGTTTTCCACGATAAATTATTTCAGGAACAGGGTTATTTTTCATAATTGATGACATTGCATATTATTGGGAACGCAGTGTTCCCACGATACATACAAAGGTATTAAACTTGGCCGGGTATATGCCGGCGGGCTTCAGTATGTTTTACCATGCACCAATCAGGGCGTGGTTACGTACAGGACTCTATGAATTCGGAGCTAAAACAAGACTACCGCTTCCAGCACGTCTGTCAGTGTCACTGCGGTTAGCCAGAAGCGTTTACAAGTCCCACACAAACATTAAGTTTGACCCTTGTTCCCTATTTATGTTTAAAAATCCCGTCCGCAAATTACAGCGTAAAAACAGCTCAAGGACTCTCGTTGAAAGTTTCAAAGCGCACGAGAATAATGATGACCATGTTCGAGCTGTAAAAATGCACTTGGAGCCCTCGCGTACCCGACGATCACAAACTCAAAGCCAGTTTGGCTAGGCCTCCGAATAAAAGGAGGTATAAGCCACGCCCACTCACACTGCTTTGGGTATAGTCATGTCGACATATAAAGCACTGCTACTGGTAAAAAAACAACGGGGCGAGGCTTAAATTATAATGGTCAGTCTATTGAGGGCAAAATAGGGACAGACGCGGGCTCTGAAAAGTCGACACCATCATTTTCTTTTTTGTTCTTCAGTAACATTTATATCCAGTTGTTAAGCAGTTTAGTCTAATGCCAATATTTTGTCTTCAAGGCCAAAAGGGATAGGGCGAAAAAGAAGACAGTGGGGACGAACTCGCCATGGAAGAGGACACCTAACGAGCCCCGAGAGGCGCCATCGACCATCAAGGATTTCTTTTCCTCCAATGTTACGAATGCTACATACTTTATCACAAGCTGTTTCTACCTGATACCCCTTCGTGGCCTGCCCTGCATTACACAGGGAAGTGAACAGTACCCATCCGTTTTCGAATCAGGTCTCAATGTATCGTACTCACATTTCTTCATCTGTTCAATCAAGGTACTTTTTATTAGTTCACAAGTCACACTGAAACACATTATGTTACCATCCACACCTGATGGGTCTCATACTTTCAGTAAACATGAAGTAACACAGATTTTTTTGAAAGACAATTAAAAAAAAACTAATTCGCTGACCTAAAATTAATTACTTACCGTTTAGCAGGTGGAACATCAATGTAAATAGCTAAAGTTTGCACCATCTGGAAAACGAAGGGACAGTTCAATCAATTATACAAACTGATCGAATGACATGCAAAGGCCTATTGGTTCAACGAAGTCCGGAAGTAAGTGAAGAGAATCCGATGAAATGATGAGCTGTCCAACGGGAAAAACGCAGATTAATGCGTACACGTAACACCCTTGTTGATTCCGATTTGAGGGTCCAGTCCACTAATTCAAGCCCCATTGAAAACAGTGTAAATCAGCACCGTTCAGGGCGCA